TATTTGATAGCGGAGACCTTCGCTATGTGTTTAAAATTAACCAGCCTTTCGAAAGTATGTCCACGGCAGCAGCGTGCTTGTCATGGCTTAGGTAGCGGGTGTCAGGTGATAGGCCGCTGTAGGGGCTACGGGGTGACGTCTACCCCTCATTCTGCTCACCGCACGTAACCGAGTGTCAGCACAGAGAGAGAACCACAGTCATACTCCTATGACCTCTCACCACCTACTCGAAAAATAAACATTTACAAGCCATTCTAAAATTTGTATTTTTATTTATTTATTTTCTAAAATCTAAAATCACTTTAATAAATATTTTTAATAAACTGTATTATTTAACATCAAAAAATTAATTAAGACTTATTGAAGTCTTAATACTTTTTGGCAGTTAACAATGTGATTAAAATAGTTAAAATATGTACATTTAATTAAAATAAATGTTGAATATTAAAATGTTATATATATATGTGTGTATATATATAGTGATAAAAAATATATAAAATAATACAAAATATATATGTATAATTAAATGAAATATATATATATAACTAAAATGTTTCACTATAGTTAATATATAATGTAACATAATTTATGATGTTAATATTATGTGTATATATATATATATATATATATGAAAAGTATACATCATATATATTTTAAATGTCAAAAACATAAGGGAACATTCTTTCATTGTAAGAATGTGAGGTGAGAGGGGTCATATGATGCGATTTCAAGTTTTCCTTTCTCTTTGGAGTGTTACAAGCTGATTGTGCATAGATAAGATCCCTGAAGTTGCAAAGACTAAAGTCTCAAAACCAAAGAGATATTCTTTATCAAAGTTAAGACTCTGCCACGCCCCCTAAAACGGCTCGTTCTAACACGCCCCCACATATCTACCTCACTATGTGGAAATATTTGCATAATGCGGCCCAAATGTTCACGCAAAGAAAGAAGGCGTGGTTTCAGTAACCGCAGTTAGTGTTGAAGCAGCCATGTCAGGGAGACGCTGTGTGTTTCTAGGCGAAAGCAAACGCACTTTATTTGGCCTTCCGAAAGTAGATGCATTTAGGAATCTTTAAGATTACTTACAACAGAACAGCAATGCATTTTATGGATGACCGTTTCGTGAACCTAGGAGAGGAGGTATTTCTGACTTTGCTATGGACAATCTGGCGCTTCTGAATCAGCTACTGTTTTGTTATTAGTTTAAGTATTTGCTATTGACTGTTCAAATGCGGAGTTTTGCGCATCGTGTGTGTGTGTGCGCGCGCGTGTGTGTGTGTGTGTGAGAGAGAGAGAGCGCGAGAGAGCGAGCGCAAGAGAGAGAGAGAGTTAGAGAGAGCGCGAGAGAGAGAGAGAGTTAGAGAGAGCGCGAGAGAGAGAGAGAGAGCGCGCGAGAGAGAGAGAGCGAGAGAGAGCGCGCGCGCGAGAGAGAGAGAGAGCGAGAGAGGGGCTCACATCACAAACACATACAAGCTTCATCACTGTGTCTGTCACGCGACTCTGTTCCCCTTTCGGGCTCTGTCTTTACATTTATTTTGAAAGATGAAGCTCGAGATTATGGTAAGGGGCGTTACATTTCCGACAAGTGCTTGTGGTGTTCGGCCAATCACAATGCACTGGGTCAGCTGGCCAATCAGAGCAGACTGCGCTTGTCGGAAGGAGGGACTTTGTAGAAAACAAAGCGTTTGAGAGAGGCGGGATCTTTAAAAAGGCATCATATGACCCCTTTAAAATCGACTCAAATTATAAAATTTATATAGCATTTTTCAAAAATTAAACTTATTGTAAGGGCGGAAAAAGATTAAGGTAGAACATTGAGATTAACAGAACTTTGTGTCTTTAGTTTCTGTGTGGTAATTACTTGCATCATAAAAGAACAATTAAGACAGCAGTAATTATATCTATATTTTGAATAATTAATAGTCCACCTGTAAATTGTAGTAAGTGTGTGTTGAGAGTAGTTTGGGTAGATTCACTGCCGACTTCAGCCGGGCCAGCACTGATTGATGTGCCAGAGGGGACGGAGGGAGCGCTACTGGACGAGAGTGATGGAGAGCAGCAGAGAGACGCACTCAATACAGAATTGCCTCCTTGCCCGTCTGGGTTTTGTCAATTTCTCAGACTTCAGGAAGGGAGGGAAGAGGAGAATCGGGCCAGGACCGGTACCCAGCGTGTAATAACGCCTCGGAAGGGAAAGTGCTGACTACGGCCGGGCTTTGATTCCAACTGACAGAACCTTTTCAAGTGTTCATTACTCACTCGGAGACATCAGACCCCGTCCATAGCAAACACAGACACTTGCACACACACAATCAAAGCCAACTGTCCGCCAGCCCACAGGTTTCATTCTGTTTTCTCTTTGGACTTCCCCACTCTACAGGCACCAAAATGTTCCCCCTCAGAACCACATCCAGAGCTCAATCGAAGAACGCAGCTTCCTATATGGTGTCTAGCTGGTCCAAACGTGGTCATTAGTTGGTCCAGATGGACCATTGGCTGATGGACCTCATTTTGACCTGGTAGACCATGTTGGTCAGGCTAGATAGGTTTGGTAGACCACCTTAGACCAGCAACAAACTAGCTATCTAGGGCTGAATGTTGCAAATTATCATATCATATTTCAATTTAAATTATTTCTTCTCAAATTTTGCAATAATAGTTTAATAAGTATGTTAATCATTCTCGTACTTCCACAAAACCACATGAATTAAGACACGCCCCTTTCTCCAAAACTCCGCCCTACAAAAAACTGTTGAAACTTATGAAAGATGGAGCAAGAGGCCAGCAACACGTTACCTGAGATTAATTAAAACAAACGCTAACAAAATAGCATTCTGACAACAAGCTACCTGATAATGAAAGTGAATTTAGCGACAAGCTAACGATATTGAATTTGGTGTTAAACTTGAACAACTGGTTTCAACTGCCCTGTGAACATGAAAAAAGTATGGACAGGCAATCAAAGTGACTTCAGATGAACTAAAATATCAGTAAGTCAAAATGAACGCTAACAAAATTGCATTCTTTCGCGACAAGCTAACTGCTAATGATGTTGAATTTTGTGCTAAACTTGAACAACTGGTTTCAACTGCCCTGTGAACATGAAAAAATGATGGACGGGCAATCAAAGTGACTTCAGATTAACTAAAATATTGATAAGTCAAAATTAACGCTAACAGAATAGCATTCTTGCGCAACAAGCTAACTGCTAATGAAATTGAATTTGGTGTTAAACTTAATCAATTGACTTTAACTGCCATCTGAACATGCAAAATGATGGACAGGCAGTGAAAGTGACCAGATAAGCAAAAATATAAAAAAGTCAAAATTAGCACTAAAAAAATATAATTCTCGCGTGACAAGCTAATTGCTAATGTAGCCAAATTTGGTGCTAAACTTGAATGATTTGCCTTAACTAGACAGGCAATCAGTGTGACTTTAAATAAGGTAAAATATTGATAAGTTAATGTCTAAAGTGTTGATAAGAAGTATTAGCGATAGCTAATATTGCGATAGCTAATGTTCTTTTGATGCTTTCCAGCAGCCTGTGACAGTGAGTGAGTGTATGTGTGTGACTTAACTCCATGTTTGTCTGCTCATCCTATTATCCGTCGCTCCCTTCCCTTTTCCACTACTTTCTGTCTGTTTATTCTGTCATCGACTCTCTCTCGTCTATGTCATGGTCTCGGGTGAGTAGTGTTTGGGTTACTCTGGGCTCCACGTTCATCTGATGAGTCCGTCCCAATGACACCGTATGTTTCCACTCCGCTCTGTCTTCCACCGCTGTCAGAAATTGAAATCATTTGACTCATTGAAATTGATCTTCTGAAGCATTCTGTGCTGAACTTGTGAGTGTGAGGAGAAAATGAGAACAGCTGAATGGGGAATTTTTGCACTCGGTGTGTGTGTGTGTGTGTGTGTGTGTGTGATGAATGAAGACTGGAAAATATTGGTAAGCTGTGCTAAATGTGCTTAATGGCTTCTTCCTTAAAATCTCTTATCATATTCGTATTGAAGTAGCAACCATCTCTTCCTGGTTTCATTGACCTCTTCGTTGAACTTTCCGTGACCTGAAGTGACCCTTTTAAAAATCAAATCCAATCTCTAATGGTCATTGATGCTGGGAAGAGATGCTGTCTTTCCATCTTGTTTTCTCTCTCTTTCTTGCGCCTGAAAGGGGAAGGAGTCTGCGAGGGCTGGAGAAACCAAGGATGACTTCTAATCACTCACACGCACACAGAAATGCACCAAAACACATTCACCTGCACATTTTACCTCCCCATATATAAAAACAAGTTAGATATAAAGCAGATAACTGCAATATATCTTGTTGATAGTGGAACACCTTGAGCTGTGTGTGGTTATTATTATTATTATTAAATTTAATATTATTATACATTTTTTGTTTGTATTATTAATGGGAAAGGCACTCAAACAATATTTTTAATATTAACATTGATATTGTTTTATTTAGGAAATTCTATGCAGCAATATTTTAATGTTTAATATTTAATGATAATAATCATTTAAAAATAATTAAATTATTATTATTATTATTGTTATTATTTAAAATGGGAAAATATCACAAAATATTTTATTAATAAATATTAACATTATGAATATTAAGGATATTCTGTGCTGCAATATTTAAAATGTAAAAAATAATAATAATAATAATAATGCAGAACAGAATATACTAAATAATATAAATATCATTAATATTAATAACAATTAGTATAAATAATAATATTTGGAGTGTCTGTCCCTCAAATCTCTTTTTTTCATCCTTCAAATTTATATAAATTTTTTATATATTGTAAATATTATATAATTTTTTTATATATATTTCTCATTGAGAAAGTGTAAATCTGGTGGGCACTAGCAAGTGAATGAGTATTAAATTTTAAACTGCTCAATAAACATTTAAACATAACAATTTTGCAATTTCATAATTCTGGAATGAAATGCCATACTTAAAAACATGCACCATCAAATACACTGTATAAACAGAATATTTGATGTAAAATCTCTCTAGATAGACTTATTTAACTATAATTGGCTCATAATAAGTGCGATGGCCTCCGTATAGGATCGGAGGCTGTGGGGGGCGTCCCACACACCAGTGCTGCTATGTAATCAGAATGAGATGTGTGGACAGAGCGAGGAGAATGAGGGCCGCCAGCTAAAACCATTAATACAGCTTTAGCCACACATGATTGAATTGCACCGGTTAAAGTCATTAACTAGCGTCTGGATGAACTTGTTCCTCCGGGGGTGGTGGGGGTGTGAGTGGACTGCTCTCAGGGAGAAATAAGACATAAGACCAGCGCTTATATCCTGTCCCAGTGCAGAAGAATGGACTAAACGCTTTGACCGGATGACAAATGGGCCAGCGGTGCCTCCTAATTGCCCCTTCTATTTGCAGTTCATTCTTATCAATTTGCATTCCTAACCTCAAGCGGCTAATCGGCCATGGGTTTCCCTCACGTCTGTCTATTTTTACCCCGGAGCGAGAGGTAGAGTGAAGTGAGGCAGAATGGGAGCACTAATGCCGGAGGGAGGATTTGAACTAACGTGGCTGAGCATGCACTAACAGACTTCAGTCATTCTCAGTTAGCTCATGTTAGCCTGTGCATCTGAACTGTTGCTCGCATTAACCCCTGCCAAAGCACAGCCGCCTGGCAGACTGTGAATGTGAATACTGTGTGCTTTGCATCCCTAACTCCTCTTCCCTCCATGTCTGTTCAGCTTTCTCTTTCTTTTTCTCCACCACATCCTGTTTCCCTCATCGCTACGTCATTTCATCCCACTAGCCCACGGGTAAGGTGCATAAGATACTTTAAAAATGGCCTTATGGTTTTTTTTTTCTTCTTTTTTTTCATTTTTAGGCGCCATTTTTACCATTAACAACTAACCTTGCACTCATCGCCACTAATTTGAACCAACTGAAAAACTTTTAGTCCTTTAAAGGAATATCACGGGTTCAGAGCTACGCTGAACTACACAGCCCCTAAGGGGGACATGGTGATGAAAAAAAAAATGACAGGGAAAGAAAAATTATATTTATATATAATTATAAAGTTTCTCTGGGAAACGGCAAAGTTGTGTGAACAAATGCAGTTTCTTGGGGAAAAGGCAAAGTTTTGCAAGCACACGCAGTGTTTCATGGAAGGACGCAAAAGTTTTGCGAGTGAGCATAAAGTTTCTCTGGGAAACGGCAAAGTTTTGTGAGCGAGCACAAAGTTTCTCTGGGAAACGGCAAAGTTTTGTGAGCGAACACAAAGTTTCTCTGGGAAATGGCAAATTTTTGCGAACAAATGTAGTTTCTTGGGGAAATGGCAACGTTTTGCGAGCGACCGCAAAGTTTCTTGGGGAACGCAAAAGTTTTGCAAGCGAGCGCAATGTTTCATGGGAGAATGCAAACATTTTGTGAGTGAGCACAGTTTCTCGGGGAAATGGCAAAGCTTTGCAAACAAATAAAAAGTTTCTCGGGGAAACGGCAAAGTTTTGCGAGCGAACACAAAGTTTCTTGGGAAAATGGCAAAGTTTTGCGAGCGAATGCAAAGTTTCTTGGGGGGACGCAAAAGTTTAGCGAGTGAACACAAAGTTTCTTGGGAAAATGGCAAAGTTTTGCGAGCGAACGCAAAGTTTCTTGGGGGGACGCAAAAGTTTTGCGAGCGAACACAAAGTTTCTTGGGAAAATGGCAAAGTTTTGCGAGCGAACGCAAAGTTTCTTGGGGGGACGCAAAAGTTTTGCGAGCGAACACAAAGTTTCTTGGGAAAATGGCAAAGTTTTGCGAGCGAACGCAAAGTTTCTTGGGGGGACGCAAAAGTTTTGCGAGCGAACACAAAGTTTCTTGGGAAAATGGCAAAGTTTTGCGAGCGAACGCAAAGTTTCTTGGGAAAATGGCAAAGTTTTCAAGCAAATGCAAAGTTTCTCACAGAACACAAATGTTTTGCGAGTTACCTCAAAGTTTCTCAGGGGGAACGCAAAGGTTTTGTGAGAGAACACAAAAGCATAACAATGCAAGTATATTTTTTCCACATCACCATGCCTCTTTAGGGGTTCTGTATTCAACTGATAGCATTTGTGGCGTAATGTTGATTACCACAAGAAATATTTCGACTCGTCTCTTGTTTTCATTAAAACAAAAAAAAATGCACCCACATTACTTCATCTGTTAAAACTAGTTTATTATTTGAGCTCTAAAGCTCTTTCAATAATTTTTACCTGTGTTTTATGGGTTTAACAAATTGTCACATTGTTTACATCTCTATACATTGAGTATCTTAATTACAATTTGGCCCCATTTACTTCCAATATAAGTGCCTCACTGTAGCCCAGATTTTTGAAAACAAGGGACAACTGGAAATCATTTTTTAGTGGTGATCAATACTATACTATGCTATCAAATAAGCTTGTACTGAACCCGGAATATTCCTTTAAGCTCGCCCTCGAAAGTCTGATTGGACTTGTTTTTACATGCACAAACTTACACAGAAGATGAATAACACTTACTTTTATTTTGAGAAAGGTCATGCCTAGTGCGCATGTCTGTTGACATCAAGACATCAGTACACTACATACTCATGTGATCTTGCGCTGCACTGGGAGAGAGTCATCGTTCGGCCCCATGTAGTGTATCCTGTGCCACCCGCTGGGCCTCACAGTCTCCCCTGCTGTCTTGACCCCCTTCCACTCACCCACCCACCCAAACAAACCACACCAACCCTCCTATCCACTCTCTCTCCTTTGCGCCAGCCTGTATCTCCATGACCTTGCGTTATTAAATTGCACTTATCAATCATTCTTGCCAGGGATGCCATCGCCTACCACATTAAAGAAGTCAGAGAAGTCTGGTTTCAGCAGCCTTGTGCCTTCGCAGACCGCTTCCCCTCGAACGGCATTCACACACCATCATCGACCTGTCATTACAGGACCCAGAGGTGAGGTCCCAACACCCCACCCTCCTCCAACTGCACCACTCTTTCTTCCCCAAGCTCCTTATCCCAGCCAGCAGTTCTCCCACAATCCTTCAAATCCCAGTTTCCTTCACACCCCACACTGTCACCTTGTAACACTAGACCGGACGAGCAGGAACCTGAAGTCTGAACGGACTCTGTATGAAGGGGCGTTCACACTGACAGCGATTTGTAGCGTCAAAGCATCCAGTCGTTTTTACAAGTTGGAGATGCAACCAATTTGAGTAGAGTTTAGCTTTATGCAAATGATAAGGAACACAATGTGGATATGGACTGGGATTTTTTTTTTTATTCACAAGCTCTTGATTCGATTTGATTCTCATTAGATTCTGATTCAGTTTAAATTCAGTTCTGATTCAGTTAGATTCGGATTCAATTCCGATTCATTTCGGTATATTTCAATTACAATGTCTCTGAGCTAATGCTGTAAATTATACAGCGATCCTAGAAACATTACAAAATGATTCATTTTAAAAATGAGCAACAAAGCCCAAAATTGGAGGTTCAATTGCCGTTTAATTAATTTAATTAATTAATTTATTTGAATTTTATAATCAGCACAACCAAAAACTACTCTGTGAAGTTTTAAGTAAACTTTTAAATGTATTTCTTGCCTAAAACTAGTATTTTATTAATGTGTAATTATAAAAAAAATTACATGAAGCTCACATATTTATTATATATACATATATATATATATATAAATATAAATATAATTATACTTGTCACAATAAGCAATGTAATTTAAATTGTACTTCAATTGGGTCACAAAGATTTTTTTGATTTATTATATCTATTTATTTATTTGTTTTTGTTTGTTTCTTTATTTATTTATTTGCTTACTGACTTAAATTATTTTATATAATATTCCATCATGGAAAGTAATGATAACTTATATAATTTATTAAAGTAACTTAAGTAACTTTTACTAAAGTAACTAACGTAAAGTAACTAAAAGTAACTAATGTTAATTCAGTAAGCGATGTTTGCGGGTTTTGATTCACTTACAGTAATAGTATTTTTATGATTATTTGTTTGTGAATTGGACTACACTGGTTGCGCTGTATGTTTTTGATTTACTAAAAAGCGCTAGTTAAAAATAATCTTGTTTTTGTGTGTATTTTGATTTGTTTTGTTTAAGTGTTTTCTCAGTATTTTTGCTGTCAGTGTGAACTGGGCTTGAGGCAGTGCAGGTAAAATCGGATCTAAAAGGATCTCTGAGTGTGACTTACACATGGCTTGGTTTTCCCAGCGAACGAGGCTTTATCAGACAGAGGCCTGGATCAGGTTATCACGACCGTATTGTCACTGGCTGTGAATGGTTTTGTCATAGATAAGGACGGTTTTTAATCAAACCCAAAGACGCGCAGTGAGCGGCTACATATTGTTGTCTTCACGTGGTTATTGTGAGGAAAATAAACTCCTGAATGGCTTGTTTGTGGTTTTCCATTGCATATTCAAAGCACATTTTGTCTAGTGTTTGACAACCTTTGTGCAAAAGTAAAGTTTTGTGTGGAAATTTACCTGTTTTTGCTTTTTCTCTGTTATTAATATTCTTCATTTGCTGGATGTAAAGCCAAACGGCATCAGTTACTTTGAATATGTTGAAGTAGAAACCACAACTTAATTTGTGAGGCTATTAGTATTAAATCACGCTTGGAAGTGGTATCGCTGTCATGTGAATATTTTATGCCCATGTGGACACTAGGCGCAAAATGGGCAGCGATTTCATATGCATACGGGGCGAGGATTGTCGCCTCTTTAAGAGTACTTCCTAAAAGCTAAATCCATGAATCTATGATTGATTTAAAGTGCCTCCCTCTTTTTCAACACGTTAGTCAAACCCGGTTTATGCGGTTAGGTGGGGCGGCCGGAAAACGTCTTTTTATATATATATAAATATAAATATAATTATACTTGTCACAATAAGCAATGTAATTTAAATTGTACTTCAATTGGGTCACAAAGATTTTTTTGATTTATTATATCTATTTATTTATTTGTTTTTGTTTGTTTCTTTATTTATTTATTTGCTTACTGACTTAAATTATTTTATATAATATTCCATCATGGAAAGTAATGATAACTTATATAATTTATTAAAGTAACTTAAGTAACTTTTACTAAAGTAACTAACGTAAAGTAACTAAAAGTAACTAATGTTAATTCAGTAAGCGATGTTTGCGGGTTTTGATTCACTTACAGTAATAGTATTTTTATGATTATTTGTTTGTGAATTGGACTACACTGGTTGCGCTGTATGTTTTTGATTTACTAAAAAGCGCTAGTTAAAAATAATCTTGTTTTTGTGTGTATTTTGATTTGTTTTGTTTAAGTGTTTTCTCAGTATTTTTGCTGTCAGTGTGAACTGGGCTTGAGGCAGTGCAGGTAAAATCGGATCTAAAAGGATCTCTGAGTGTGACTTACACATGGCTTGGTTTTCCCAGCGAACGAGGCTTTATCAGACAGAGGCCTGGATCAGGTTATCACGACCGTATTGTCACTGGCTGTGAATGGTTTTGTCATAGATAAGGACGGTTTTTAATCAAACCCAAAGACGCGCAGTGAGCGGCTACATATTGTTGTCTTCACGTGGTTATTGTGAGGAAAATAAACTCCTGAATGGCTTGTTTGTGGTTTTCCATTGCATATTCAAAGCACATTTTGTCTAGTGTTTGACAACCTTTGTGCAAAAGTAAAGTTTTGTGTGGAAATTTACCTGTTTTTGCTTTTTCTCTGTTATTAATATTCTTCATTTGCTGGATGTAAAGCCAAACGGCATCAGTTACTTTGAATATGTTGAAGTAGAAACCACAACTTAATTTGTGAGGCTATTAGTATTAAATCACGCTTGGAAGTGGTATCGCTGTCATGTGAATATTTTATGCCCACGTGGACGCGAGGCGCAAAATAAATTTAATATGCATACGCGGCGAGGCTTCTCACCTGGTTTTGGCTTTTAAGAGTACTTCTTAAAAGCTAACACCATGAATCTATGATTGATTTAAACGGCCTCCCTCTTTTTCGAGACGTTAGTCAAACTCGTTTAGGTGGGGTGGCCGGAAAACTTATTTTTCTAAAACCATTAAAGATTATTTAAAACGCCTAAATCTGTCCTCCCTTTCAATTGACCGTGCCACTTCGTAACACTTGCTCTTCCCTCCTTATTCAAACTGGGTAAAGTGGAGACCTGTTGCATCAAAAAAAGCCTTTATTATCACCTTAGGTATTATTTTGATAATCCACCATTCAATGAAAGTTGGCAGCAATGGGCCAGTGGGGAAAAAAGGTTGCGGAGAGCAAAAAAAAAAAAAAAGATCAGTGAACCAACGCGATTTGCAAAGTGGAACTAATCCGGAGCCTTTTCTATTATGCGCGGGTGGCGGCACAATGGCAACAGAGGAGCCGCGCTCAACCAGCTGCTGGAGTCTGCCTCCTTTTCAGCGCATCATTATCATTTCCATATTTGCTTTGGGAGGTATGTGTCCACTGGACCCCCCTCAGACTAACTTTTAGGGCCACCCACTACCTCTGCAGCTGGCCTATGCCTCTTTTGCCATCAGTCACACCATTAAGTAATAGAAATAGAGGTCAAACAGGTACTTCTATCTATCTATTCATTTATTCATGCCTCATGTAACTGTCATATATTTCATTTCCATTAAAATAATTATGTATATTAATATACTTATGTTTAAAATAGTATGCAATTTTTTTTTAAATATTAGTCGTTAATAATTGAATAAATAGGTATAAGTATTTATTATTAATGATTAGTAATAAAACAATACATAATAATAATAATACATGTTAAAACAATAAATAATAAAACAAACGGTATAATTTATAATTAAATAAAACAAATACTACAGACTACACAAATTTACAGAACACATTAGGAAATATATAATTTTTAAAAACAAATTTAAATTTAATAAAGCAGTTGGCTTTATTTATTAATTATTATTAATTTTGTTTTGTTTTATAATTTTTTTGGCCTCAAGTAACTATATCAATGTAACTGTATAACTATAATATTGCTTCATGGTCAACTGTATTAAATTTCATTTACACTGAAATAAAATAATTAGCACATTTAAATATGTGAATATAAATACTTATGTAAATATTTAAATACGTTCATACACATATTTTATAATTTTTTTCTTTGTTTTAGAATTTTTTGGCCTCACGTAACTATATTAATATAACTGTATTATTGCTATATGGTGAACTCTATTAAATTTCATTTACATTGAAATAAAATAATTAGTATATTTAAATATGTGAATATACATATGTAAATATTTAAATACATTTATACATATAAATTACTGTATTAAATAAATATGTATTAAAATGTGTATTATCAATAATGAACAAAATAAAATAAATAACTATAAGTAATAATAATATAAAATAAAAAAATTAAGAATAAAACATAATATATAATAAAATAATTGAAACAAGTACAAACTATAATAATTTAACATTTGAAATTTTAGTGTGTATTGAATCCTGACATGCATGAGTAACAGATTTGTCCTGAACAATGGCTCAAGTCTAGTCAGTTATTCACATAGTCTGCTATTTTTTTTCTGCTGTTACTCATAGTCGGAGGCTTCTATATATATTTACTTTACACCTATGGTGATGTTTCATCTAAGTTTAATGGTGCAGAGCTTAAACATTTAGCCACAACAAGGCTGAGTTTTGTGCCCCAGATTCTCTTTGACCGTTAACATAATTTGATGCCGCATATTCTTGAACATGGTGGCGCCACACTTGTGAGAACGGCCCGCTGGTTAATAAAGCACAAAGAGAAGTCATTTCTAAGGATCAGACTCTTCTCCTGGGGCTCCCATGATCTCCTGGTGTCTGTAGTGAAGACAAGGCTGCTCTCGAAGCCTCTGTTCTCGCTCTCACGCTTGTGTTCTGGTATTAGCCTCATCACCACCCCTTTT